AGTCAGTTGCTCTTCTTTCTTTATGCTGGTTCTCTTGGAAATCTCATTTGCTCTGAAATTGAACGCTCCATTTGGGTCCTCTCTTTTGACTCCTGGGATCCTGAAGCACTTTGAATTTTACATGGCTAACTACAAAGTCATGATCTATTTGGAATCAAATTTTCTTAGCACTTCCTTGTTGAGAGGGAGGCTATCCTTTCCATAACCCTGGTACAAAATTGTGGAGATATATATATATATACATAATCTTATTACTGTCAGCCAGGAATCTTTGGTTGTAAGACAACAAAATTCAAAACTGAGTTAAGCACAAAGAAAAATTTTCCCTCCAGGTGGGGTGCATATCTGTAATGCTACCTCCTTGGGAGGTTGAAACAGGAGGATTCCAAGTTTGAGACCAGCTTTAGCAACAAAGGTAATTTTCCTGCCCACCTAGTGGGAAGTTCTTGGGTGTCCTGATTCCAGAAAGAGACAAGTCCAGGAGTTTGAATCTAATGCCACAGGGACTCCTGTTTTCTCTACCCTTCAACTCTCCTTCATGTGAGTCTCAGACAAGTTTGCTTGTGTGGCAAGATGGCTATCTACATCACATCGTCTTAGCAACACTGGGGGAGAGAGTACCTGGCTCCTGGGCAATTGAGAATATCCAGGATTAGCTCTATTCTAACCAGATCACATGACAGTTCAACCAGGACTGGAGGAAGTGATGCTCTGAGTGTCCAGGTCCCAGTCTAGGGATAGAGTCAGCCTATCCAAACTCTATGAACTGAGAATGAGGGAACAGCTGGTTCTCTAAAAAAATGGGCTGTTACCAGAAGGAAAAAGGGCTTATGTGGAGCACTCTACCAACTGGAGACCCTAAGAGATGGCAGATAAATCTCTTTAATACTGAATAATGGTGTAGGAACTGAAAATGGAGACAAAGATTTTTTTTTTTTTCTTTTTGTACAGGTGATTGAAACCAGGGGTGCTTTATTGAGCTACAGCCCCAGTCCTTTATATATTTTTTGAGACACAGTTGCTGTGGCTGGCCTTGAACTTGAGATCTCCTGTCTCAGCCTCCCAAATTGCTGGGATTACAACATGAGCCACTGTGCCTTGCATGAGAGGAAGGATTTTTAGAAGTATCCAGAAGTTAGAATTGACAGGGCTTGGAAAAAAGGAGGGGAGGGACAGGTATAAGAGATATCAATTTCTGGCTCAGATTGGTGGGTAGTACCACCTTCCCTGAGACTGGGAAATATAAAGAAGGAAAGACAGTAAATTGAGTTTACCTGTGAATTTTAAGATGCTTATGGGACCTTTGGATGGGAATATACAGCTGATGGGGGCTCTTTATATGAATGTGGGGTCATCAGCCATAGATGATGGTTGAAGTTATGGGAGGAGGTGAAAATGAGCCTTGAAACATGTGCACGAGGGCCAAGATCTAGTGCAGTGAATACATTAATTTTAGAGTATTTTAAGAGAATGATTAGTAGAATCAAATACTGTAGAAGGCATATAAAAACTAAAATTGACTCATCTAACTAGTGACGAGAAGCCAACTGGTAGCTTTGGTTGAGTGCAGTCTCACTGGAGAGTTGAGGGCACAGCCAGGACTAAAGGGAATCAAGAATGGAATGAGAGTCGAGGAAGCGGGGTCTGAGGCTGTCCTCTGAAGCAGCCACCTGTGTCCAGAAGACCGGTCTTCCTTCACTGTCATTTCCCTGTAGAACTCATTCCTTTCCACATTCCCAAGAAATCTATAACTTTTGGAAGAAAGACTGTAACTTAATGTTTGTGAACGTCATAGGGACTTGTTCACAGAAAGTAAATATTTGCCAACAAAGCAATGACTCAGAGTCTGGAGCACATTCTATTTCAATCCTGAGCAAGTGTCTTGGCACATGATTACACCGTTTTCCTTCCACTCTGGTACACAGACTTGTTTTAGTTAGCTTTGTATCATTGTGACCAAAAGACCTGACAAGAACAATTAGACGAGGTAAAGTTTATTTCGGCTCAGTTTCAGAAGGTCAGTGCATGGGGGACAACTCCACAGCTCTGGGGTCAACATGAAGGAGAACATTCTGGCTCAAGGTCATGGCAGCTCAGAACTTGGCAGAGAACTCAGCTCACCATGGACAATATTCAAACCCCAAAGCTATGCCCCATTGACCTACTTCCTTGTCCATACCCTACTTGCTTACTGTTACCACTTAATTAATCTATGTATAACTCTTATAATCTAATCATTTCACCTCTGAACATGCTGCATTTTTCTCACACATTTTGGGGGACACCTCATATGTAAATCATACCAAGACTTGCAGCAACAGATGTAAGGCAAACTCCAGGAAGACATCTCAAGCTAGCACTGAGTTGGGCAAACAGAGTGCTGGATCTCTGGATAATCCTTGTTTTGAGGGCTACCTGGAATTTACTGATTTGTGGAATGCAAAACAAGGCAAAAGTAGAGGGCTGTTTTACAAACACTGAGCAAAATAAAATCATCTTTTTATCACAGAATTCTTCATAGGGGTCAAGATCTTGCTCTGCCTCAGAAAGCCAAGCAGGGGGATGAATCCTATTCAAGTGAAAACGTGTTCTGCATTAAGTCAGTTTCAGATGGAACTGGCTGGTTATTGTACTGAACAAGGACAGCACCAAATGGCAAATGAGACAGTAAGACAGCAGGACAACAGAGTAGGGAACAGATGGTTTTGCTATCATTGGAAGCCCTTGTATAAGCTGCTAGACTTTTCTGAGGCTTTGCTCAGAGGGGATAATACCCATCTTCCCAATCTCATTAAGTTCCAGGAATGGCTCCATAGTCTTCTCAACTGCCATTATTCATTACTAGAACCAAAATCATACATAAAAAACGCTTGATCGACCTCAAAGCACCAATGGTGATTTTTAACACCAAGCATCTATAATATGCTTGGCATTGTTATTTCATTTACTATCTGCCTGCAAGGTACAACTGAAGTCACTACTCACTTCTCTTGTAATTTTCCCAGAGGAAGTCTATATTTTCCCCTCCGCTTACCATACTATCTTCTCCTTGAATCTACAGTGCTTCAGATATCAGTTTTAGAGCAAGAACTTTTTTAAAAAAATCAGCATTTGTCAGAAAGACAAATGGTACCTGACTGAAAATGAATAGCACCTTCATACTTAACCAATCCAGATGGGCGCAAATCTCATGCTCTCTGGACAGCATGAAAATCCTCACAGCAAAGTACTGGGACAGATGCAAAAAAAAGGGAACAGGCCATAAGTAATGAGGACAGGAGCTGTGTTAAGCTGTGCACTGGACTATCAATTGGCATGTAAAAATGACTGTTACAGCAAGAGATGATAAATACAGTCTTAAACAGAAAAAAAGAAAAGCTAAAAAACAAAAAACATTTTGTTATCTTGTACCTAAGCTTTCAAGTTACATCAAATATTAACATAAAAATGGGAATATTTTAGGATTTTGATTATATCTTAATTTCTTTGCTATTCCAAAGAATAGTCATTTAATTAGAAAATCAATGGCATGAGTTTGGTTATTTATTTATTTTTTTCATTCACATGCTGATAACATGAATGATACAACCTTTAGCAGTGTGATTATAAGTACTTCTGGGAATATTGTAAACCAACTTTAGAGGCCTGGGATTTAGCTCAGTGGTAAAGCGTTTGTCTAGCACGCATGAGGCCCTAGATGTGATTGCCAGCACTACAAAAAATAAAGAAAAAAAGGACAAGGATGTGCCCAGTAATAGCAATCACCCTTCACAACTGAAGGAATCAAACAGATACTTCAAAGGTATTCCTAGCTGTGCAAAGGTATGAACTCTTCCTCACATCAGGGCAATAAAAATGCTGATTAATTCAGTTTCATTTGAAGATTTATTTTTGTGGTACTAGGAATTGAACCCAGAGTGCTCTACCACCAATTACATGCCCAGCCCTTTTCAAAACAGGATCTCATTAAGTTGTGTAGGCTGGCCTCCTGTCTCAGCCTTGCTGGGATTATAGGTGTAGGGCACCATGCATGGCTGAAGATTTCAGTGACTTTTCCCAAATGAGAAAATTATTTTATTATATATTTTTTAAAACATTTTATTTTTTGGTAAAACAATTTTAGAATAGGAAAAACAGGGCCAGGGATGTGGCTCACTGGTAAAGCCCTTGCCTAGCTATGAGTGAGGCATTGGGTTCGATCCCGGCACCACACAAAAATAAATAAATAAATAAATAAAATAAAGGTATCATGTCCATCTACAACTAAAAAAATATTAAAAAAGAAAAACAATGTACCTTTTTTGAATCAAAATATTGCTTTCTATGATCATAGATAGTGCCAAGTTTGCTGAAGAATGCTACATACAGAAAAAATTTATTAAAGAAGCAAACTGCATTGGATAAACCATTCTTCCCTTCATTTCCCCTTTTCACCTGACCTCACCACAGAGTACCTTTCAAAGCATCTAATAAAACTCAACTTACGTATATAAGATGATCTACAGTATTTCCTGCACTGACATTATTTTTGGGAGGAGTCCTTGCTTCGAATTCATTTTGAATGAGACATCAGGCAAGCCCAGCTAGAGGAAGCCTGCAGAGGCCCGAAGCTGCCTCACCTCAGAGCACCCACACCCTGCCAGAAGCCTGTTTCTCATCTTTCAGGGTCCTCCAGCTTCACTGTGGATTTGCATCCTCAAGCCACAACAGTTGCTGGTCCAGCCTAAAGGCATGAGTCACCCATAATTATCACAGAGACTTAATTATTTATTGATAACTTTCAAACTCTACCGTTAAGAGGAAGTCTGTTTTCCCCTCCCAACAGCAGGATCTAGAAGATATCCATGGGGGTTTTTCAGTATAAGCTGAGGGGTAAGTTCTGGAAAGAACATTTTTAGGATGGGAGAAAACCAGAAGATAGCAACACTAATTATAATACTAATATTATAATTAGTATAAATGCTAATTTTTCTAAGGTATAAAATATTACACACAAAATGTAAACAACATATTGCAACTTTATTAGATTTTTCTATTTTATGTTTGGACTCAAGCAAGGTCTTAGTAACCTATAATGATGGTCCTTTAACATCTTTGAGACATCACCATACATAATGTAAAATCCAATTAGGTGACATAAGACCATCAACAAAGAGCAACTGTGAATGTTGCAGCTGGCCACTTAATGCTTTTATAATAATTCAACCATGAAATGTAAAAATTAAGTATTATAAAGAAATGTAAAGGTTTTCAGTTTTATTTTTTTGCTGCTGCTATGCAATTGCATTACTTAAAAGAAAAAAAAGTTTGCCAGGTTGGACCTAATTTAAGTCAGATAACAGGTACGATGCTGCAGGCAACTCTGTCTTTAGTATGCAATTGTAAGGCTTTTAAAAATTATTTTCTCTTTTGGGCTCTATTCCTACACTTCCACACATGCCCTCCTCAACATGTTTCATTATTTAATCATCCAGTGTCCTAACTACAAGCCCCGGGTGTTCTGCAGGTAAGAGGGATATTTAGATTTTGTTTAGTGCAGGGGTGGTTGGTAGATGAGTCAATGAATGAACAAAGTGAGGGGAAAAAAGAGAACATTCCAAAATTATATTTAATAGAATGTTCTACATTACACCTATTAGGATGTAAACAGAATCTGGTGTGAAGGAGTTAGTTCATTCTGATGATTAAAGGGAGTTTCTTGATACCTCCCCCTAAAAGATTTTCCTAAAAGTCTATGGGACTACTGAGGAGGAAGCACTTTCAACCTTTCCAGATGGTCCCCCCTCTGGAAAGTTATTTCACAACACTGGCTCTGGGGTCAGCAGCCATTTTGGTATGGACAGTTTCAGCAGCACACTTTGAACTTGCCAAGTCTCAAGTCTGACGTCTGAAGAGTGTTGCAGTCCACAGCCACTTCACTGAGGGTCAGTGGCGTCCAGAGGCTCCCATCAAGGTTCTACCCTTTGATAACAGCAATGGGTCTCAGTTTAATGGCCTTCTTGCTGATTCCAGCATCATGGCAGGTATTTACCACATCTGTAACGTTCTTATAGGACTCAGGAGCCTGCAGGGGAAGAATCAAACATTGTAAGTGTACTGAAAAGGGGACCTTTAAAAGTACTCCATTCCACTTAATGTTTTTATAATAATTCAACCATGAAATATAAAAATTAAGTATTATAAAGAAATGTAAAGGTTTTCAGTTTCATGTACTAAACAAATGTACATTAAAACAAAGCTGAGGGTAGGATTTTTTTTTTTAATCTATCAAATAAACAAAGATTAAAAAACTGAGTAAGGTCATTGTTGGGAAAGTGAGATAAACACTGTTTTTGTTCTTTATTAAAAACTTCTCCAAAGATTGCAAATTGCTTGTATAATTAAGAAAAGCAGGGCTGGGGCTATAGCTCAGTGGCAGAACGCTTGCCTAGCATATGTGAGGCACTGGTTCAATCCTCAACATCACATAAAAGAAGAATCATCTACAACTACCAAAAAAAAAAAGGCAGTAAATGCAATTAAATCAAACATATATTCCCAAACACATTATCTTTGAATAGTAGAATCATTGGTAATCTGAATTTTCTTTATGGATTTCTGTAGTTATCCAAATTTCTTAAATGAACATGTACTAATAACTTTTTCTTTATAGCGAGAGAAAGTTAATAAATTCATATATAAACATGTGCAAAATTATAACTACCCCAAAATGTTTATGTAGATGTGTGTGTATGCACTCACAATTTACTTCTGTGAATTTTTAGCAAGGCCCCCACCCTTCCTCCCTACCCATATCCTCTTGCCACCATCAGAATTCATCTCCTCACATCCCTGCTTTGTCTCTATTTATGTCAATACAACCAGGCTAGGCCTCCCGGACCAACCCCCACAGGGCTCTGTACAAAGTGTTCTGGTGCATCTCTCATTCCTTTTCAGTTCCTACAACTTTCCCACTATGGCCTCTGGAATTCCCTCTGGTGTACTCAAGTGCAAAATCCCTCTTTCCTTTCTCACCTTGTTCTTATTGAAACATACACCTCCTCTGCTCCATTTTTACTGTATAGCACTTATATGGTCTTTAAAGCATAATACATGGTAAGTTCACAAGAAAGGAACATGTCAGTTCTGTTCACTGTATTATCCCTAAGCACCTAGATCTCTAGTAAGGATGCTATTCATGCTATTCAAGAAAACAAACAAACAAAAATACCCAACCAAAAAAACCAACAGTGGCAAATTATTTCTTGTTGGTTGAAGTCTAGGTGTTTTTGTTTTCTCTGTATTTCTCTTTTTTTTGGCAGTGCTGGGGATTTGAATCCAGGTCTTGTACATGCTAGGCAAGTGCTCTATCGATAAGCTACAACTGCAGCCCTTTTATTTTGAGATAGGGTCTGGCTAGGTTGCCCTACCTGGCTGGTCTCCAACTTGTGGTAGTCTTGTCTCAGCCTCTGGAGCCACTGAGAGTAAAGGTGTGTGTCACCTGCTTTCATATATATATATATTTTTAACTAAACATGTATTATTCTTAAGAACAGGGAGAAATTAAGTATTATAAAGAAGGCTTTGTCTTACTCTGACTCAGTAATTCTACTTTTGAGACTTCATTCTAATTATTTTAAGACCAAGAAAAGTTTCATGAAAGAACATCATTATAACCTACAGTAGTAAAAACCTAGAAGATACTTATATGTACAGAAATCAAGGTACTCAGCTGGCAGAATATTCAGAAATGACTAAAAAGTGATTCAATTTTATAATGTGCTAAATATAAAAAGGGACTACAGAATTCGTAAACTGCAATTGTAACTAGCTTTAAATCACTATTTAGGAGTCAGGAATGGTAGGCTACCCCTGTAATCCCAGCTACTCAGGAATTTGGGGCAAGAGAATAACAAATTTAAAACTAGCCTGGTCAATTTAGCAAGACTTTGTCTCCAAACAAAATAAAAAGGAGTAGGGGTGCAGCTCAGTGGTAGGTGAGGCCTTGGGTTTAATCCCCAGGACTACCAAAAAGGGGGGCAAAGGATTTAGGAAAAAATATGGCAATCAATATTCTAAAAGAAGAGGTGATAGCTGTGTTAGGGCTATTTCTGAATGACTGTAATTTTCTCTTAAATTTTTAAGAAAGAAGTCATGTTACTTCTAACAAGTATGTATGTATGCATACAGACACACAAAAATAATTTAAACAAAAGCTTTCCTACTCATGAATAAAACAAAACTGTTTCTCTAAACATTTTCCCAAAACTTGCTTTTAAACTGAAACTTAAGTATAGAACTTACAAAAACCAAGTTACAATAGGTCAGCTCAAACTATTTTTAAGTTTACCATGTAGACAGCTAACATCACTTTTAATGGACTTGGCTTGAAACTGATCTCCAATCCAAACAAAAGAGAAGACAATACTGAAATGAGATGAACCAAGGAAGAGAAAGCAAACTGAAGTCATCAGAAATGGTTTGATGCTACATATTTATCAAAATTTCACTCACCTCTTCCATAACCAGTTTGGGTGAGGCAACACGGATTGCAATTCCCATATCTGCCAATTTGTCTAAAACATCCTGGAAATCTAAATTACGCCGAGATTTTGCTCGGGACAATGCACGGCCCTAGAATGAAAAGGAATGGGGACAAAATTAACTTCAGTTTATAAATTCTGAGCTGATTTTATGTTTGATCTAAGCAATTATTTAAAACCTTATGATTATATGCTTTCCCCTTTATTTTTAAGACTAAAAAGAGTTTAAAAAACAATATTTCTTTTAACTCTATCAACCATATTATGTGTTAAAAACCTCATCATATCCTTTTGGAAAATAAATTTTTATCTACTTTTATAAAACACTGTGTATTTAAAAATTCAGCTTTGTGTATCTCTCTCACTCTTTTTTTAAAAAAAATATGTTTTAGATGTAGACAGACACAATACCTTTATTTTATTTGTTTTTATGTGGTGCTGAGGATCTAACCCAGTGCCTCACACATGCAAGGCAAACCCTCTACCAACTGAGCTACAAACCCAGACCAGTTTTGCATATTTCTAACTATTGTCAATTAGTACTTCTATTTAATATGTGAATTAACTGTAAAAAGTGTCTATCAACATAAAAAACTCTTTGTTGTGATCTGAAAGTTTTTCCACCTCAGCACTACTGACATTTTGAACCAGGTAGCTCTGGTGTGGGGCGTCCTGTGCATTGTAGGATATTTAGCAACATTCCTGGCTTCTACCACTAAATGCTGGTAGCACTCTGCCTCCTTCTATTCATGAGAATCAATAATGCCCCCAGAAAGTGCCAAAGTCCCCAGGGGCTGGTAGGAAGTTCTGCCTAGTTGAGAACCACTTGGTTAAACTAGGAGTGGGAGGCAGTTGGAAATGAGAAATAATCAGAGAAAAGAGCAGGGTTAAAATATACATGTGACAGTCTGTCCTATCAGAAAGTACAGTATACAGTTTCTATTTCCCATTCCAACACTGACTAAGCACAGTCATTCAGAAGATGGGTTGGCAAACTGCAGTTTAACCCAGCACTTATTTTTGTAAGTAAAGTTTTGTTGGAAATGTCTATTTAAATAGTACTTTTGGCTGCTCTTGTGCTAAATGGAAGCTGAACAGCTGGTACAGAGAACACATGATATAAAAAGCATAAAAATATTTACTAGTATGGTTCTTAATGGAAAAAGTTCACTGATCCCTGGCTTTGTAGATAAAAGGCAATGTGGTGAAAACAGAACATGTGCCCTGAATCTTGAATGGGACCACAAAAGGAAGAACTAAATTAGGCAAAAGAGCAGGTCTAGGGAATCGCTGAGATAAGCTGTGATGTGAATTTGCATTGGTTACAGTTATGTCACTTATAAACCATTACGATAAACTCAACTAATGTAAGCTTATTGTCCCAGTATGGATTTTTCTGGATTTGCAGAACAGTTCCTGTCCCTACCATGACCTGCCTAAGGATGAGATACTAGGTGATTTCAGTCAGTTCACTAAGTAGTATATACTGTGAGAAATAATTTCTAAATAGAAGCCACAATAAGCCCAAATCTTAAATTTACTAATGGTCAATGAGGTGCATTTATCTGTCAAAATGCAAAATAACAACTAACCCAAAAAGTACATTTTTAAGGAAATTTTCTTTTCCTTACCGCTCCATGACAGGTTGTTCCAAAGGTCTCAGTCATGCCCTGTTCAGTGCCAGTAAGAACATAACTACAAGTTCCCATGGTGCCACCAATAAGTACTGGCTGTCCAGTGAGCTGAGGATCACACAAATAAAAAATGTTAAATTTAAGTTCCTCTTGCATTGTAGAATTGTGGGAGAAACTTGGGCCTCTGAACACACTGCTCTTACAACTATATTAAGACTACTCTGATTCTTTGACAACAGGGAGACAATGGAAGAGGAAGGGAGTGAAAATGTGAGGACCAGAAAAGACACAGAAGCCAGACTAAATGTTAGAGCAAAGCAAAATCCAAAAGTGTAGAGACAAGTTGTTACTAGAACCATGCTAAGCAAGTATCTGCCCTCTTTTGGCTTTTGTTTCCTCATATGCAAAATGAGAGAACAGGCTAAAGGTCTTTCCAACTCTACCACAGGCAGACACCAAAAAAGTAAGAGGAAATGAAACAGACTGAGTTTAATCTTTATCCTTCTTCTAAAAATATGAAGGCTTTGATCATCTTAGTGGAGTAGAATACACTTAGTGCAGCACTTTTTAGACAGCACACTGCAACCACATATGATGGGGGCAGGGGTCACTGCTTCAAAGACAGGGGATCCCTGTTCTCATGGGGAACAGATTACTTTCTCACAACTGCTGCTTTCCTTCATCCATATTCAGAATTAGTCAAATTATGACCTATTGCTTAAAAAACACAAATGCAGGGGTACATACTTGGTAATCAACAGCAATGAGGGGGTGGTGAGGAGGGAAAGCACGGGTGGATCCCTTCCTGTGCACCAACAGTGTCCGTTCCTTTCCATCCACCACATGCTGCTCTACTTTGGCAATATTGTGAGAAACATCATAGATAACATGCAGGTCCAAGTCGTCAGGGGTTGTGTTGAAGACCTTGGCAAAAGCCTTAGGAAAAAAGCTTAAGTTAAAAAAGTAGTCAGAACTAGCACTTCAGAACTTATCTTACTGACTTCAGCCAGTCTGTTCCTGAAGGGAGTGAGGGATTAAAGAGTCCAAAAATGGTAGTAGTATTAATTTCATGAAAAGGACAAAAAAACTGCTTTAGACCACACTCCATAAATTCCATATATGATTAAAAAAGCTGCCTGGTTCCTCTTGATACCATCCTTTAGAAATGCTTCTTCCCAGCCTTCTCAATCTCAGTGAATGGTACTTATGTTCTGAGACTCAAGGAAAATCCTATCAATAATTTTGGCTTCTCTTTTTTCTTTTTTTTTAAATACTTTTTTTAGTTGTAGGTGGAAATGGTAACTTTATTTTCAGTGGTGCTGAGGATAGAACCCAGTACCCTCCACATGTGAGGCGAGCGCGCTACCACTGAGCTACAGCCCCAGCCCTCCTCTTTCATTCTCCAGGACTGCCGGATTCTGATTTAGTTTAAGAACACACCAAATTCTTAGATGCTTCTCCAGTATTTTGAATAGGACATAACATTTCCAAACCAAACCCTATAGGCTTTGATCTGACTACACTATACTTTATCATGAAAAATTCAGAAGAGACCTATTTTACTGTACCTGACGCGTTAAGAAGGTCATAGACGAGCGGTTGACCCAGGCATAGTTCCCAGCTGCTGCCATTCCCTTTAGGTAGTCTTGACCCTCTGCAGAAGCAATTCGAGCACAAGCCAACTGACGGTCATTGACTATGATCTTGTCTCTCTTCATGGCCTTTTCCATAGCTACCAGTGCATCTGGAATGAGAGAGGAAAGAAGGCCCAAACCAGTTAGGTTTCCTGAAGTAAATCATTCAGATTTACTGCAGAAGGTAGGCTACATTCAAACCCATTCTATTAAAAAAAAAACAGTAAAACTTTTTCTATAATGTGCTTCTGACTCATCTATTCCCTTAATCAAGATACATTTGCCAACAATCTCCTCTTTCAGACTTCAGTGATACAAGCTGTGTGGGACACAAAGACTACATGTGTGTGTACTAGAACTTGTAATGAGAATGATATGTGCACATAATCAGTAACATTATAGCCTTAGTTATTCCTTTCCTAATACATGAATGAATGAGAAGGAGTAAAATACATTTTATTGCCATCATGGTTTTTAAAAACAAATTTAGTGCTTTAATATAAAAAAGAGGGGCTGGGGTTGTGGCTCAGTGGTAGAGCACTTGCCTAGCATGTGTGAGGCCCTGGGTTTGAGCCTCAGCACGACATTAAAAAAAAAAAAAAAAGGTATTGTGTCCATCTATAACAACAATTAAAAAAAAAAAAAAATATATATATATAAAAGAGCTGGAGACGAATTGCTAGCTATGTATGCAAATCAAATCCATGATAAAATACAGAGAACTGCTCAGCAGAAAGTTCTGAAATACTAGTTAAGGTTTCGTACAGCTGATAGAGAAAATAAAGGTTCAAGCTGGCCCAATTAAATTCTCACAGGATAAAATGTAAATACAAAGTTGAACTATAACATGAAATTTAATGCTGTAATTTCCATGTGTCCAATTACCTTTTCATACATTTATTAATCCTTTCACACTCTGCAAGTCATCCAAAGTGACCCATGTTCTGGCTTCCTGCTTTTGTTCATGCTGTCTTCTTGTCACGAGGGCCCTAGGTGTGACTGTTCAAATTGCAAAGCCCCGCTCAAATACTGTGCCCTTGAAGACATCTCTGAAATCTTTTTCCTAAACTCACTGTATTTGTGTCTCTTATAATATTTTATCAATTACTACATTTTACCCCCTACTTTTATTTTAAATGAACATGATCTTTCTTTCATGAGAAAATCTGGGATAAAGTATCTGCCTATTTCATAACCAAATCTACCATAATACCTAATCTTGCAGAGTAGGGATCTACTACATGAATGAATGCATTCTTTATCAACTTTGCAATTTAAATCTTTTTTGCTCTTTTTGGCACGAGAGCCAACAGTAACCCTTAAGTTAAACATAATAACTAGGGCTAGCATTTATTGAGTGCTTACTATGTTTGGGGCACTGATTTAAGTGCTTTACATATTATTTATTAACCTTTCGTGACAATATCATACAAAATAATTAAATATGTTCATTTTTCTCAGATGAGAAAGTTAAGTCCTAATGAAGTTATTTAATTTGTTCAAGGTTACAAATTAGGGGCGCCGGGATAAAAATCCATGAAGTATAGTTCCAGGTTTAAGTTTTCTTAAGCCTCTACATAGTTTCCTATAAAATGTACATTTTGGCATGAAGTAAAAAATTAACTACTTTATATACCTGTGGCTACTTGGTGGCCCAAGCCTCTGCTTCCACTGTGGATCATTACACACACTTGTCCCTTATGGTCGATGCCCATTTTCTTAGCAGCATACTCATTGAAAATCTCATCTACAACCTGGATTTCTGCATAGTGGTTGCCTGCTCCTAGGGTCCCCAACTGCAAAAGTAAAATATCTGGTAAGAGGTTCTATTCTTGTTTTTTTAAAAAATCAATTTAAAAAGCAAATAGGTAAAAACAAATGAACAACAAATAACCACACAAATAGTGTTTTATGTAACAAAAAATTCTAAGCCTTAGAAATGCTTTCATTTAAAACAATATTCCACACAAGAACAACAAAAAATATAGACCAAGCTCCTGAAGTCTGTTGTGTTATTAGATGCTTGAAGTATACAAACATAAAGAGCTTCATCAAAAAAAGTCATGCCATTAAGTGGTTCATGGGACATTTTAAACATGAAGAGAAAGTTTCAAATTCTGGGAAGAATGCTAGTGAATGCAACAGATGAATACATGAAGACAATGTGGTACATATACACAATGGAATATTACTCAGCCATAAGGAAGAATAAAATTATGGCATTTGCCAGTAAATGGATGGAACTGGAGCCTATAATGCTAAATGAAATAAGCCAATCCCCCCAAAAAACACAGCCAAAATGTTTCTCTCCGATATGTGGATGCTGACTGACAATGGGAGTGGGAAGGGATGGAGATTCACTGGATAGGACAGGGAGGAATGATGGCAAGTGGGAAGATGGGAATAGGAAAGACAGAAGAATGAATCAGACATAACTTTCTTATGTTCACATATGAATACATGACCAGTATAATTCCACATCACGTACAACCACAAGAATGGGCAGTTATACTCCATGTATTTATATGTCAAAATACATTACACTATCATGTATAACTAAAAAGAATATTTAAAAAAAAGTTATATGAAAAACCAAAACCACAACCAAAACCCTGAGGATATGTTTGTTTTTTTGCTAACTGAAAGATAACAGATTTCATCCCTTAATTAAACTAAAATATGAGAAATTAACATGTCACCCCTGCAGAGTAAGTTACCTGAGGAAGGCCTCTTTTCTTGGCCCTTGCAGAGACCTTGTTGGGGTCAGCTTGCAGCATCCTTCCATACTCCTCACAGTGCTCCTTGTCTTCAGCCCAGGCATAGCCTTCCCTTAGGGACCAGTCCACGCCCATCTCCAAGGCCTCCTCCAAGTCTCTGGGTGAGTAATAAAAAAGTGTTACTCATTTCACAGCAAACAACATCAATTCTAAAAAACACCTCATCTCAAAGGGCAGAGGAACACGATGCAAATACTATCTTCGATGTACCTGGCTCACGCTGAATTTCATGCTTAGCAACTCTTAATTTCAATCAGATATTACCATCTACCAATACTTTTACCAGATACATGCCTTCAATAACAATTTACAGCTTTCAATGTTCCTTTCCCTACCAACCCAGATTGTCAGTCTATTTCAAACTTGTTTTTAAATCTTAGGGTGTTCTATCATTGAGGCACATCTCCAATTCTCTCTCTCTTTTTTTTTAATATATATATATTTTTTAGTTGCAGATGGACACAATATCTTTACTTTTATTTGTTTATTTTTATGTGGTGCTGGGGATGGAACCCAGGGCCTCAAGCGTGCGAGGCAAGTGCTCCACCACTGAGCTACAACCCCAGCCCCCTTCTCTTTTTTAAAAATAGTTTTAGTTGTCAATGGATCTTTATTTATTTATTTATGGTGCTGAAAATCAAACTCAGTGCCTCACACATGCTAAGCAAGCACTCTACCACTGAGTCCCAGCCCTTTCTTTCTTTCTTTCTTTTTTTTTTAATCTTTATTTTTATTTGTTTTTATTTTTATGTGGTGCTGAGGATCGAACTCAGCACCTCACATGCGCTAGGCAAGTGCTCTACAATCTCAGCCCTCTTTTTAATTTTTCAAACAGGGTCCAAGTTGCCCAGGCTGGCCTTAAACTTATGATTCACCTGCCTCAGCCTCCCAACTTGCTGGGATTTCACGCTTGAACCACAATGCTCAACTAACATTATTCATTACAACAAAACTTCTAATCTAAAACATTTGTAAAGATGCTTGAAATTAATCTGTGTTACTTGGAAGCTTCTCAAAATGAGGTTACTTGTCAGGGACCATGTGAAAACATGGAACTGTCATCTTACTCCATGTGTTTTTAGTGGGAGGGAGTTGCAAAACAGGCAATAGCTAAAAACATTTTTATATTAATGTGTACAAATTTTTGAAAAGAATGAAAAAGTCACATGAATTTTAAAGACACAACAAAGGTGGCAAAGAAACATCTTTGACTCTCCTTGTTAAACACACTATTTTGAAAATGAAGTTCTCTGCAAAGTTTAAGGTGAGCTGCTTTACAGGATTTATGAAACAGTATGGTAGAGTTAATGGCCACCTGAGAGGCAGTTACACTTAATTCTCTACTTAGTTGAAGAGAAGATTCAGTGCTGGCATTCAACAAGAAAACTGGATAAATGGGTTCACTGACAAAAGGCAGTGGGATTCAGAATATAGCCTCTGAAGAGTCAAAGGCTCTTTGGTTTGAATCCCTACATCACTTATTAAGCTTATTATCTTTCTTAACCTCAGGTTCCTTGTTGTAAAACAGGGATAATAAGAGGGTTATTGTCTACAAGAAACAATACAATGCATAGTGCCTTACATATAAGAACTGCTCAAAAATGTTAGTGGAACTTACTCTACTATAAATATCCACATCACAGACTATTGTAATAAACGTCAGTTGACTAGCATCCACTCTAACAAATGGGCTGGATCTCAAGCTTAACAAAGCAGTTCACTTCTACTTCCAGAAAGTGACTGAGCACTCCCCATCTCGAGTATCCTACACTGTAAATGAAGCTGGAGGTCATGTGGTTGTTCTCTCTCCCATTCCATATCTGGGAAATGTGTGCTCTTACTTGGCATTCATTGGGATCACACCTTTTGATCCCACCCCAACAGGAATGTGGTCAAACATAGCTTGGGCGAGTTGCTCTTTCACAGGCTGGACATCACTCTCATCCAAATTGGTTCTCAGCAAGCGCACACCACAGTTGATGTCAAATCCGACACCACCTACAAAATACAGAAAAGCTGGTCAAATATAAGTAAATCCAGGTGATCAGACAGTCATGCGTACCTGCAGTTTCTCTTCATTAACCTAGCATTAAAGAGATACCCACTCTTTTTAAGATTACCATATTTTAATGTATTAGTTCTCTGAGGGGTGAAGTGTGATGACATTGAAATAATGTGAAGTAACATATATACTGTGGGCCTGGGAGACAGCAATGAACAGTAACAAGTAAAATCAAGATAAAAATGAGTAAAGCATCACTCTTTTCCCCTTAATTAGTCATCAGAGGTTGATAGATTCTATTAGTTTTTTTTTTTTTTTTTGTACCAGGGTTTGAACCCAGGGGTGCTTAACTACTGAGCCACATCCCCAGCCCTTTTTATTTTGAGACTGGGTCTTGCTAAGTTGCTTAGGACCTGGCTTAGTTGCCGAGGCTGGCTTTGAACTTGCGATCCTCCTGCGTTAGCCTTCTGAGTAGCTGGGATTACAAGTGTGTACCCCTGGACCCAGCTCTATTGGTCTTTTGAAATAACCAACTTTTGGTTTTGCTGGTTCCTGGCTCGCCTCTCCTCTCCTTTTTTTTGGTGCTAGGGACTGAACCCACGAGTGCTTTATCACTGAGCTATGTCCCCAGTCCTTTTCATTAAAAAGAAAATTTATTTTTAAAAAATTTCTGAGACATCGCTAAGTTGCTGGGGTAGGACTCTGTGTTCATTTTTCACTCAGACCCTTTGAAAGTAAGGCTTTTACTTCTGGTGTAGAATGTTTTTACTGAACATACTCCGTAGCTACAGCAGTCCTGAATGTATAAACTACAAATGACCACAGATAAAACGATGAGAACAAATGCTTACCAAGTACCTGCTGTGTGCTCAACACTTGCCTAAGTATTTGACAAGGATGAACTCAATCTTTTTTTTTTTTTTTGGTGGTATATGGGGATTGAACCTGGTTGGGCTTGTTGGGCAAGCTCTCTTTCAGTGAGCTACATCCCCATGAACTCGGTCTTCATAACAAGGCTATGTGGTAAATGACAGTTAGACCTCATTTGTCTACAAGAATATAAAATTAGCTGAGAAATATTTTGGTTTTGTTTGGTAGCCAATGTCTGAATAGCATTTGGCATTTTAGCGAGTGTCCAAAAAATTTTAAAAATGTATACTTTTGATGTTTTAATAGTCTCTGAATGTTTACAACCAATTTTCTCAGTAAACAAGAGGAAAGGTAATAATAGGCTGGGTGTGGTGGCACAGGCCTGAGGTGGGAGGATCACAAATTTGAAAGTCAGCTTAGATAACTTATCAAGATACTGTCTGAAAATGAAATTTTAAAAAAGGTTTGTGGCTACAGCTAAGTGCAAAAGTATTTGCCTAGCACATGTAAAGCCCTGGATTGAATCCTAGGTGTGAACACATGCATGTGCATTTAGATAGATAGATACATACACACACACACACACACACACACACACACACACACAATACAAGACTGAGATTAAAAAAAAAAAAGTAGTTCTCTGTTTTAAAAGAGTAGGATCGATGGAGAGAAACTACACACTTACCTGGGGATACCACCGCTTCAGGATCATTCATATCAAAGGCAGCCATATTCCCAATAGCAAACCCATAGCCTGAATGGACATCAGGAAGCCCAATAGATCGCTAGAAGAGAATCAGACAGTGAAATGTAGCTATTTTAACCTGGAACTCTGGTTGCCAGATGGGCCTGATACTGTTTCTCAGGTTGCAGGCTGAGCTTTCCCAAGATCAAGATTTTTTTCACAAAATTCTATTGGTGAAAATTAGGTATAAGAACTCCTAATCACAAAACTAAATACAGTGAGACAAAAAACAAAAAAACTTTCTCGTACAAGTCTAATTATTAACTAAGGAAACCTAAGACAGAAAAGCCTCAGACTAACAGGTACAGGAGAACCATACGTAGCTTTAATATTTTAATACCTTTTAAAGGTGAGCTCAAGGATGACATTGACAAATCACAGTTGTGTCAAGTTAAGAAGAGGTAAATATTCATTACATGGCCATTAGAACTTAAGTAATCTATGAATATCACAGACAATGCACAAACCGTGCCTTTTCAACCTCTTCACAGCACAGTATAATAACTGGCATGAAGGACTCAAAGGGGCTGAAGTTGTGGCTCAGTGATAGAGCACTTTCCTTGCATGCATGAGGCACTGGGATCAATCCTCAATACCACATAAAAATAAATAAAAAAAATAAAGATATTAAAAAAAATGTCTGTTAAATGGATCTGTTTTCCACATGTACCTTTAGGTGAAATCTGAATATTTGACTGTGGTGGGGCCCACTCATACTACCCACTTCCATCTGTTATTGCCATCGTCTCTTTTTTTCTTTTTCAGTTGTAGATGAACAGAATATCTTTATTTATTTTTATGCGGTGCTGAGGATCAAACCCAGTGCCTCATGCATGCGAGGCAAGCGCTCTACCACTGAGCCAGAACACCAGCCCCTCTTTGTTTTTAAAACTATTTAAAATATATTATTTAGTTGTAAATGGACAAATTACCTGTATTTTACTTATTTATGTGGTGCTGAGGATCAAACTCAGTGCCTCACATGTGCTCGGCAAGCATTCTACCACTGAGCCACAACCCCAGCCCCTGCCCTCTTTTTCAGTCATGTCCAGAACAGCTATCACGTTCTCTCTCCATCATTTCAGTGTCCCAATCCTTAAAACTTTTTCTTTCTATTCCTTCCCCAAGTATTCTCTTAAATGGGGCCATGGCAAAACCTACAATGTTATGGTAGACTAATGCAGGAGTAATGATGTTTCTATGACAAAGAAATAAGAAAACATAAAAACTACTTTAAAGGTTATCAAATGCTTATAGATTCGAGCCAAAGGCAACCAGAAACTGAGACATATTAGCCAGGCCCAATTATTTCTTAGATCTCATGGTTAGTACTATATGCTCAAAGGTTACTGTTTAGATGACACCACTTTGAGTTAGGAATGGTCATTCATCCATTCAACATAATTCAGACAAGAAATATAACTGATTGGAGTTCTGAAATCTAACTCACATGAACAATTCCAGGCAAGGCTGCCACGTTGCCAATCTGTTTCATGGCTGGCAAGAAGCCACCAACACCTGAAAGCAAAAAGTCAGTCTTAGAAAAAAAGATATGTTTGATTTTCAGCATTAGTCACATTCATATTTCTAGACTGTATTACATGTTTACATGAATAATCTATGTAAAGAACCTAAAATGTATGGCACATGGTGTAGGATTAATGGTGGTAGCTTTGATATTATTATTTAAGGGTTAGCTGAGACACAAAGCAGGCCCACCCAGCTCCAAATCCTTTAAGTGAAAATGGCTAACAATGTGATCACAATTCAGGACTTTGGTCTCATTATGTCTTTTTTTTTTTAAGTTGTAGATGGACAGGATACTTTTATTTATTTATTTATTTTTATGGGTGCTGAGGAGCGAATCCAGTGCCTCACCCATGCTAGGCAAGCGCTCTACCACTGACCTATAACCCCAGTCCGTCACTATAAGTCTTGATCATTTCCTGACAATTATCATTTATTCAGGCCACAGGTTTAGGCAGATATTTGTAATACAACAAATGAAATGCTAATGTACTTACCACCACCTCGACAGGCATTCCTTAATTCCTCAAACATTAATTTCTCCAGAGCATCATTCACATAGAAAACTCCTTCAACCTGGTACCAAAGGAAAGGAAAAATGCTTTCTAAGCATGTGTCCGTGAAGTATAGGCACACTGGACATAATACATAGTATATAATACTTATTTTATTTTGCTTTATTCTTTGTAAAACTTTCACATTAGCTCAAGCAAGAAAAAAAACCCAACTCCTAACAAAGTCTAAAAGATGTTCAAAGGGTTTCAGATTTAGGAGTATTTTGAATTGTATGGGTCAGGGCTGCTCAACCAGAGAAGTTTATGCAAATATGCCAAAATTTAAAAAAACTGGGGCTGGGGATGTGGCTCAAGCAGTAACCCGATAGCCTGGCATGCACGGGGTGCTGGGTTCCATCCTCAGCACCATATAAAAAATAAAATAAAGATGTTGTGTCTACCGAAAACTAAAAAATAAATAAATAAATATTTTTAAAAAATTCTTTCTCTCTTAAAAAAAAAACAAAAACAAAAAAAAACCCCCTCCAAAATCTGAAACTTTTCCCGCCCCAAGTACTTCAGATAAGGGATATTCAACCTGTAATTTGCAATGCTCAAAAACTGTTTTGTTTGAGGGGACAAGATAAATTTACTGTGAACATTATACAACACATGTGTGTAATAAAACATCATATGGTGCCCCATAATATGTATTATTTTTATTCACCAATTAAAATAAACAAATGAACACCCTGCCCCCATCAAGAGGGAAAACAGCACTGTTTTGTCACCGTGGGCTTTTTTTCTCCTTAGTTTGTAGCTAAAGCTGTGTGTGAATAGGGGTCATTTGATAACTTTGACACTGATTAAAAGAGTGGAAAGGTTCTAGGAACTTTTTACCAGGACACAGGACTGCATAGCCTAGGGCACTTGCACAGCACCTTAGAGGGTTTCAAAGCAATGTCACCCACAGGTACCAAAACCTCACGTGCTTTGTCCTTCACGTTAATGGAAGCCATGAGCACACTAAGAGACAGCAAGCTCAGCCTTTCACACTCTAGAAGTGGGCTCCCGGGTCTCCATCATGATTTTGGCACAGAAAGAAGTAAACTGGACGTCAGGCCCCGGCTGAGCATCTCACTAGATGGGTCCGGAGAGCTGATCCTCAGGGCCCCCTGCAAAGCGCAGAGCAAAGACCAACCAACCCTGCCTTGCTACTCCTGACGGGTGGGAGGAAGGGAGTCACTGACGGAGAACCAACATGGAGCAGGGAGCGCTAAAGACTTGGCGGAGCGCAGAGCGGTCAGCACGCGTCAGAGGAGCGGAGTTCCAGTCCTGGCATCTCCCCCCGCGCCTCGGAAAGCCCGCGGAGGTCTCTGAGCACCAGGTACGAGACGCATCTTCAGACGCCCGCGAAAGCGCTCCGTGAGCGCCCCGCTTCGCTGGTCCCGGTGGTCGCGGGACCTCTCCTGCCCGAGATGGAGCGAGGAGGGCAGGGGAAGGGGGTCAGCCTGCAGGGTCGGGGGCGGACCCGGGCTCGGGTGGGTTCGGGAGGGCTCGGGGGAGGAGTCGGGAGGGCTCGGGGAGTGGCCCCGGGGAGGGGTCTGGAGGCTCGGGGAGATCTAGGAGGTCGCCGAGACGCCGCCCGGGATAGGGAAGGCCCGGCCGCCGGGTCCCGCTCCCCCGTCTCACCTGCATGTTGGGCACGAAGCCCTTCTTGATTCTCCAGCAGTTTTTATTGATCTTTTCCAGGAACTGTAACTCATCGTTGTAAGTACGACTCATGGCTGCGACAACAGTAGCAGACGCTCGGCGTCCGGCTCTTGCCGCGCTGTCGGGTTCCGCGGAGCGCGCCTTCTGGCGCTCAACGCGCAGGCGCGATCAGCTCCGCACGATCGGCGACGGCGAGCGCCGAGGCTCGAAACTCTTCGCAGCAATCGCTTTTTTTTCTTGTTAGACCGCCCTCTGGAGTTTGCTTTATGAGTTGATCTCAGCCAAGCTACATCTAAGCGAAAGCTAAGCTAAATCCAGTTAATGTTTCCTATGATCTAGTTATCCTTCATTTTGGAAGTGTTTTTGAGCAGCTGTCGAAAACACCTTGAATCCGAGTCAGATCCAGTCGCTCTATAGAATACTTCGTTTTGGAGTTTACATCCCCAACAGTGAAAGGAAAATATATGCTTGCAGCTGAGAAAGACAATCCTGTTTGAAAAAGCACCACACCTGAACATTTGTAATGTCTCATAATGAATCTGTGGATATACATCAAGTAACTTTTTTGGTAGAAAAGAGCATCCCAAAGAATGAAACGTGACATTTTATCATTTATTCCCGCAAACACTTATAGGGACACCTTTCAAGGCCAGAAATATGCAACAAAGATGAATCAACCAGTGTCCCTATGGATGGTCTGGGCTTCCCCATTTGGCCTTCTTTGGTGATTAAATCTTCTACGGTCATGCTTTTATTCTTGTTTGTTTGATTGGTTTTGTTTTTTGAGACAGGGTCTCACTGAGTGGCACAGGCTGGACTTGAAGTCCTCCTACCTTCAGCCTCCCCAGTAGCTGGATTATAGGCACACACTGCACCCATTTATGATGGTGCTATTAAAGGCAACAACTCTTGCTAATTGAGATAAGTAAAGCTCTAAGTGATTTCAGTTTCTAGCGCTGCCTCAGGTTGAGAACAACAGTTTTGGAGTCAGGAAGACTTGGATTTAGTTTCTATCTGTGCTATTTTCTAGCTTTGTGTGATCTATCCCTTTTAGTCTCTATTTTCTCATGTATAAAATGGGGTCACAATTCCTCATAGAATGGTTTTGAAGATTAAATTACATGATACTAAAAAAGTAACCAGCATAGGGCTTGGCTGATGGTAAGTGGCTTTCTTCCACCTTTGCCTCCCAACTAGACTGTAAGGCCTGCAAAAGCAGCTTGTAGTTTCTGTTAATTTCGTACATTGTTCACACTGGTTCCCCTCTCCTCCTCTGCCCCAGTTTCACCCCATTTATTTGATGCTTTGACACTATCATGATCCACTGTGAATTGTCTAGGTCCAGTACTTTTTGCTGCCATTTTATTGAGTGGTGAGGGGAAACATCCCCAAACTGACCTCTAGAGTGTCCTATAGTTGCCCTCTCACCAGAAAGTTTTAAGAGGAAAAGGAACTCTTTTAAAATCAAGCCTTGATATCTGCATGGCCTCAGTTTTTTTGTTAGTGTTAAACTAAATCCTTTCCTTTTCTTTGACATATGTTATTAAAATACATTCAGGACAGGAAATCTCCCAAATAATTAAAAAAAAAAGATTGACATTGATAGAAAACAATTTTAATTAACACAGGGGATGGTAACAGTGAATATAAAACATAAAATCCAACATGCAGGTGGGGGAAACACTCGAAGGAGCTGTAAGATCTGCACAGATAACAACCCATACAAATACAGACTTTGAGAGTTCCTGACGCCTTGGTCAGAAGTTCATGCCTAGCTCTTGTCCCTAGAACCTTATAAACACAGGCACACAACATGCGCACACTCACAGTCAAACCCCTGCCCCTCCACATATAGCGCGCACACACACACACACACACACACACACCCATCCCTCCCCCCCCTCATTCAGCCCTTTAACAGGCCTTGCTCTGTGTCCCAGAAGCCTCCCAAAAGATAACTTTCTGCCTAAGTAATGCACAAGGTGTGCCTTGTCTTCTCCCTCCTGGTTTACAGTAGCTGTGGGACTAAGAGTCATTTCCTTCCTGGGGCGCCGGGTGAACAGGCAGTCAAGGGGTTGCCCTCCCCGTCCACTGTCCATTTAGCAGGCTCAGGTCTTCCCAACCATGGAAACTTGGCTGCTGTTTTGAGGATGATTCATACTTCAGGTCGGTGGAAATTAACAGGAAACCCTGAAAAGGGGACACCAATGAAGAGAGCATCAGATTTGGGGCACATCTAGGTTTGCCTAAGGGTGGTGTCTTTACTGCATCCTAAGGTACCAAGCCTTTCCCAACATCTGGCCCTCTTTTTGAGGACCTTGGATATCGGAGGAAGTTATGGAAGATTGTCATCAGATGTGACTTAAGTATTGGGAGTTGGGGGGAGAGGGAGGCAGGGAGGTGAGAAGCACTGGGGAGTGTAGAGGATTGAAGATTCCTTCAGAAGCTTATTTCCACCTCCCCAATCAGACAACGCCAAAAAGGGGGAGAAGATATTATGAAGTTAGTTAACCATGATTAGCCAGGAAACAGTTCTCAACGGACCTCGGAGCCCAGAGAAGGGTCTTCAGGGGAAAGTCATAGGGAGAACTAGAAGAGCCAATCTGAACCCTTTTCCAGCTACCTGAACCACTTTACCACTTCGAATCTCATTGTTCTCATCTGTAAAATGAGATTAATAATCTCTGCCTTATAGCTTGTCTTTTGGAGTAAATTGTGTAAAATGCATCAAAGAATATTTTCTTGTTGAATGCAGTGGCACAAGCCTGGAATCCTAGAGATTTGGGAGGTTGAACCAGGAGGATTGCAAGTAGGGGGCCAGCCTCGGCACCAAATAAAAAAGTGAAGGGCTAGGGATATAGTTCAGTGGTAGAAAGCCCCCCTTTTTTGACAAGGGGTGGGGGGAAGAATATCTTCCCTATACTGTGGTGTGAATAAATTTGGCTAAGCAAAACTGAACTTGATCTGATTTTTAAACATTTCATTGGTAATTGCAAATGTTAAGAGTTGAATGTTTTATTTATAAAATTCCTTGGTTTGGGAAAAAAAACAGAACATATGAAACTAAAACAAAAGGTAAACAAAATAGAAGCAAGCTTATTCTATCATGAAAAGAAATGGATCAGTTAGAGGAGATTCAAAATCTTACCTCCAAAACTTCAATGTCTGAATTGATGAATGAGAGTTTATGCGGGTTGGGCAGAGGAAATCCCTGCTGCAATCTTGCTAAAATATAGAAAGATATAAGATAACTAGGCATGGGCACAGACATTTTGGCAAACTTTTTAGCAAGAGACATACAAGAAGCTTTTAAATAATTCATTTCTTCATTCCTCCTGATAAGTCCCAAGGATTTTTCTGGAAGACTCGTTAATTCCCCTTTGTTTAATAAAAACGCATCTGCAATTATGCGCATTTGGACTTCAGAAACGACTTTATGCTTACCCAATATATATTTTGAAAATTCCTAATTGGTGGGTCCTGAGAACATTTTAGTGTCTAATATAAAAAACAGTATTTTAACTAAGCTGAACTCCAGATGCTGCAGTTTGAGAATAATTGGAGGGCAGGGAGAGGCCCTGGACTGTCATTCAATAAACTGTTTATCCAGATAACCACAGAGATACTTCGTAGGGAGAATCATCTCATTTCCAATTGAACTGAGGGACACTCTTCACTAAGGAGCGTGGTTTTGATCTCGTTCACTCAGCCAGAGTTGATGCTGAATTTACAAAATGAGTTGCTTACAAGGCTTGGACCTAACACAAGTAATTTCAGAACCCTATTGTGGAGGGTCCACCCTGTAAATTTCTGGCTCTGGTCTGGATTCCTAAAAACGTTTTAAAAGTGGAAAGTCCCAAACAATCCCCAACGGTTAGCCATTATCAGAGTCGTGTCATTTCCCAAGAATCCCTTACTGTTGGCCAGGGGAAGGACTCCAAAGTGAAGGATGGAGGACAGAATATTCTCAAACCTCACGACCTGAAAAGAAAGAGGAAACCGCATCAGTTGCCAAATCGGGGCCGTTTGCAAATCCCACGCCCGGTTTGGACATGCCCTTTCCAAGAACTCACCAGGACAGAAAGCAATAACGAGAGTTTCTCACCAGGATATATTTTCTTTGTGGGAAATCTTATGACAGTTTCCTAACTATTTTTCCCATTGGGGATAAGCATTTCTGTTTCCCTTTACACTGGACCTTGGTGACTGCAAATGCACAGAACCACACGGTGGCAGCCAGTGCAGCAGCTTAGCTATCCACCAAGAAGGATAATCAAGAATTAAGAGAGTTCCCAAATAGCAGTCTTCTCTTTCTTTATCGGAAACCTCAACCACAGAAATTCCTTTGCTTTATGTTATGCGCTGAAGTTAGTTGCACCATCAGAACATCCAGTTTATCTTTAATAAACATGTTGGCTCTTGGGGAGATTTAGGTGTTAAAAATAAATGAATCAAAGCCAGTCGTGGTGGCCAAAGCTGTAATCTCAGTGGCTCTGGAGGCTGAGGCAGAAGGATCTAAGTTCAGAGCCAGCCTTAGCAACTTAGCGAGACCCTGTCTCTAAACAAAACCTAAAAAGGGCTGAGGAGGTGGTTCAGTGGTTGAGCACTCTTGGACTCAATCCCCAGTACCAAAGAATAAAAATTAAAAAAAAAAAAAACAAAAGAATCAGGAAGAACAGAAATTCATTGGGTGAATCCTTTTCAAGCATCCTATATGCTGAGCAATAAAAACCTCCTTGTCTCATAGCAATCATGGCTTTGAAGCCAGACTTCCTGCATTTCCTCTTTCTCTTAACATTCACTATGTGATGTTGGGCAAGTTACTCAACCTCTCTGTGCCTCAATTTCCTCAACCGTAAAATGAAGATAATAATAGTTAACTATATTAATAATCTCATAGGGCGGGTCATCAGGATCGAACAAGTTCATAATATATCAAATGCCTCTTATAAACAATTGCCATCTTATCCTGAAATGCCCCATGGTTAGTACATTCTGTTGTTGATACTAACTAGTTTACTGGAATCTTCCAGGAAGAGTTGGATGCCTTTTGCCTCCCCATTGGTTTCAGGAAATAGTATTTGTGAGAAAGTCACCTCTGTCTTCTCATTGACTAGATTCTCTCTTATCATGCT